TGCGAGGAGCTGCGCCTGGCGCTCGTGCAGCTGCTCGGCCTGGCCGTGCGCCTGGGCGGCGCCGCGCTCGCGCCCCACCTGGACGACGCCGTGAGGGTGCTGCGCTGCACGCTGCTCGACCCGTTCGCCGCCGTGCGCCGCGAGAGCTGCCAGTGCGCCGCCAGCCTGGCGCGCGCCACGCCAGGTGCCCGTCTCGCGCGGGGGTCGGGGTGGGGGTGCGGGCAGGCACGGGCGCCGTCCCCGACGCCCGAAGCTGCGGCCGCTCGTGGCCGTTCGGTGGTTCGCAAAATGCAGAGTCGCGGAAACCCCGCCGAAATCGCCCAGAGGGTCTGGGACGCGGCGCGTTCCGGTAACTGCTTCTCACCCGCGTGGCGAACCCGGGCGCTGGTGGGAGCGCGCTCCGAGACTCACCGCTGCGGTCTCCCAGGCCTCGTCCCCATCGCTAAGCCTATCGGTCTTCCCTCTTTGGGTCGGAGCGCTGTCCTCCTAAATGGAGAGAGGCCGCTTCTCTCATGTTTTCCTTTAATTCGTTCTCCGTTATTTTAAGAATTCTAATCTGATCAGGACATTCCCTTTTTCTAAGTAGCTGTTTCTGCAGGATCTTGCCCCAGTTAACTTCTCCTTACTGCCTAGGATGTGGAATGGTTGGAGGCCTCTACTTAGTCCCGTTGGGAAGGCTTCCTGTAGGAGGAAATATAGAGGTTGAAGATCTGTGATCTGTGGTCAGGAGGAAACCAGCTTGGAGGAATAAACAACTTGGTCGATCTGAGGAGCAGAAAGGAGGTCGAGATTGCTGGAGGGAAGAAAGCGGGGAAGCTGCGGCGGGTTTGAATTTAGTGTTAAATGCAATGGGGAGCCAGTGGGGGGTGTGGAGAAAGGGCGGGAGAGGCTCAGACTCTGATTTTGTTTTTAACGTGTATTTATTTTAGAGACAGAAACAGAGCACCAGTGGGGGAGGGGCAGAGAGAGAAGGAGACACAGAATCCTAAGCAGGCTCCAGGCTCTGAGCTGTCAGCACAGAGCCTGATGCGGGGCTCGAACTCACGAACCGTGAGATCATGACCTGAGCCGAAGGCGGACGCTTAACCGACCGAGCCACCCAGGCGCCCCAAGGGAATTACAAGCTTTTAACACATTTCTCATTGACCCCCCGACCACTTCACTCCCTGGTCTGTGTGTCAGCGGGGGTGACGGCTTCTGCCTTGCAGCCTTTGCGTGTTCCCTCGCTGGATTGTAAGTTCTGGAAGGGTGGGGCAGTGCCTGCCCGCATCCTGGGTGCCCACTCATTTCCGAGCGAGGGACGGTTCCTTGTGCTTGAAGGATGTCCCTCCTCCAAACCCTCTACTCGGCCGGCTCCCCGTGAGGACCCTCTCCTGGATCCACACCACACCGGGCAGCGCTAGGTCAATATCCCGCCTTGATCTGAGGCCCTCAGGGTGAAAGAACTCAGCTACAGCATCACCGAAGTAGCCATCTGTGGTTGCGTCTCCAGCAGCGGCAGAACTGAAATCAGAACTCCCACACCAGCAGGCCGGCCTACCTGTCAGAGACATCCCAGTTCTGATTTTGTGCGAGGCCCGAACAAGTAGGAAGTGGAGTGGCTTCACCCCAAGTGATGTCGGCCCTGTTCCCTGTGTAGCACCAGCCATCTGGCTCCGAGGCACAGCCAGTGTGGGGATTTGGGCAGCGTCCTCCAGGCTCCGTTTCTCTCCTTTTCTTGGCATCCCTCTTGGACACCCAGTGCCACTGCTGTCAGCCTCACACTCTCCTCGTAGCTCCTGCCTTCGGCCGAGAGGGAGTCAAGCCCCTGGTCTTTTCCTTTCGTGCTGTCTGGGCCACACGCCAGTCCTGTGCCTCTCCCGGCGCCAGGGGGCACACACCTGTGCTCGGCAGGCCGGCAGCAGGGACCTGGGTGGGGAGAGGGCGTTCCGGGACACGGGGGGGCCTGTCCTCCCAGGAGCCCGTGGAAGTAACTGGGTTCCTCCCCTGTCTCACAGACCACTTCCACATGCAGTCGGAGTCCTTGATCGGCCCCCTGATGCAGAGCATCTCACACCAGCACTGGAAGGTGCGGGTGGCTGTCATCGAGGCCACCGGCTCTGTGATCCAGTTTGGCAGCGGGAAGTCGGTGGACGACGTCCTCCCTCACTTTGCTCAGAGGCTCTTCGATGACGTCCCCCAGGTAACGAGTTTCTCCTCTAGGTGGTCCGCCCCTCTTCACCGGGAACGCGCTATGTGTAACTTCTTTTTTTCTGTAAAACTCCCACCTGTTGCCCCGGACATCTTGCATCATTCGCCGTCACTGGGTGGTCTTAGTTCACGCCTCTGGGAAAACGGGCAGAGTTGAATTGTTTTAATATGTTCGTTGTTCTTCACTTGGGGGAACGTGGGACGGGAGTATTTCCTCCTTGGAAAACAGTCGAACTGTGTGTAGCGCGTGGTTTCAGAGGCGTCTGTGAGACGCACGTCCATTGAGGCGGATTGATGAACCCCAGCGGTTGGTGAACCAGAACTGTGAGGAGGAGGAGGAGGAGGAGGAGGAGGGTCAGAATTGGCGTGTCGGGGTCCTGTTTCTGTTGGGCCTTGGGACCCACCGAGAGAGAGACAGACCGAGACCAGAATGCTGGCTTTTCTGTTGGCAGAAGTCAGGTGGGAGGCTGGGTCATGGATGTGAGGCCACAGTTTGCTTGTAGAACCTGAAGACCCCCGGCAACAACAAGGGGAGGAGAGCCACCCGCCCCCCAGAGAGAGGAGACGGGGAGGGGATCACTTGGGGGGGGAGGAGATGGACCAGGGGGTCGCCCGGGGAAGGAGGGGCAGCGAGCGGTTGCTGGCGGAAGTCCCCCGAGTGGTTAGAAAGTGCCCCTGCCCGTGGCCGTGGGGGCATGAGGTGGCCCAAGGTGGCCAAGGACTGAAAAGCTGGTGCTATGGCCGCCTGGCCCCTGCTGTCCCGATGGGGGAGCGCTTGTGTGCCGGCCCCTCCCCCCACTGTCCACACACCGTGTCCTTTAACCCTTCACACCAGCTGCTCGCATGTCCCCTGCGGTCTAGAAACGGTGCTGCACGCTCAGGGTGGCCCCGCCGGAGCTGGCCCCCGGGGCCCAGGTGTGGTGACACTAGAGAGTGTTGCCCGGCACCATCCGGCCGCCTGGCCGCAGGCACGCTTCAGTTTCCTTCCAAGTTGCTTTGTTTGGTTTTATTTTTTTACGCAGCTTTATGGAGCTACAACTCACATAGTGTGCAAATCACTCGCTTAAATGTTCGACGTTTTTGGTATGTTATTTTTAGAGTGTTTGGTAAAATACGCGTAACGTAAAGTGGGCCATTTCTACCACTTTTGTGATGGAGTTCGGACGCGTGAAGTACATTCACGACGCGGTGGGACCGCCGCCGTTAACCACAACTTCTTCCCATCGCACCCTCCCCCTCCTCCCCGCCCCCACTCCCTGCCGCCCGTGAGCAGGACAGCGAGTGTTCTTGGTGGCTCTTCCACCAGGCGACGTGTTGGAGCGGGGGTCACGCTGCGTTCCTCCGTGAGGCTGAGGGATCGCCGTTGTGCGGTGGGCTGTATTCTGTCCCTTCACCCGTCGCCGGGCGCTTGTGCCAACGTGGGGACGCAGGTGTCTGAGCCCACGTTCGCTTCTCTGGGGCCGGGGCGTAGACCCAGGATTGGGGGTGCTGGGTCGTACGGTAACTGTCTGTTTGGCCTATTGAAGAGCCATCGGGCCATTCTCCGCGGTGGCCGTGCGCCTGGCATTCCCGGCAGCGGTGCGCGAGGGGTCCGCCCCCTCCACGTCCCCACGGCGCTTTTCCGTGGTCTGTGTGTGTCTGTCGCCGTCCTGCCGGGTATGAAGCGGCGTCTCAGTGTGGCCCGTAGGCACGTGTGCACACGTGCACAGAAGGGGCCCCGATGCCTGTTGGGGTTGTGTGGACGGCTTAGAGCTTCTTACCACTTGCTGTTGGATTCCTGACGAGGCAGAGGGGCTGGGGGTGGCCCCGGCGCCCCTTGGGGACTGGAGGTGCCTCTCGGCAGGATGAGTCTCCCTCAGGGCTCTAGGGGCCAGGACAGAAGCCCCCCTCAGTTGCCCGCCTGTGACGTCCCGCACCGGGGTCCGGGTGTGACGTGCCAGATGCCCAGGATGTCGCTTCAGGCCGTGTCCATACCCCTCAGGGACAGAGGGCCCTTCCCTGCTCCCAACAACCTGCGGGCCGCTGAACGGGGGTGACTGGGGACGCTGCCCCCCATCCCTCCCCGTGAGCTGGATGGGGTCGGCACCGGGCAGCATGGGAGGTGGGGACCGAGAGCAGAAGCAGCCTCTGCCCCGGGAGAGGGCGGGGTGCTGGGTCGGCTGCAGCCTGGACTGGAGACCGGCCTCGACTGGAGACCTGCTGCGGGAGGCCGGGGCCGAGCTGGATCCCGGTGGCAGGCGATGGTGCCGCCACCCCCGGGACGGCCTCCCTCCCGGCTTGTGCCAGGCGGACTCGAGGCGCGAGGGCAGATGGAACAGCTTTCCTCGAAGGAGCATGATGACCGCATACGACCGCTTTGTGTGAACAGTGCTACTGAGTATCGGTCGGCAGCTTCCGTAAACAGCCTGTTTGTGTCACAGGCCCCGTGAGTGTGGACCTGTGAATGGGTGTCGACAGGTCCCTGTAAACCCTATGGCTGCGTGTCAGTGGACAGGTCCCTGAGAACGGCACGGCAACATTCCGTGGGCAACGTTCCGCCTCCTTGCTGACGGAGTTTTCCAGAACTTGGGGCTGCAACTCTTTCTTGTGGTTTAGTATTCCAGAAACACTGTCCGCTATTAAAGCTGTCTTTATTTTCGTTTCTTCCCGGTGGGATTTGATTTGCTCTGCACAATTTCCAGGGCCGATCGAGGTAGGATTTCCAATCCAACCTGGAGCTGGCCACCAGCTTTCTCGCCGATGAGGGGTCCTGTCAGCAGGGTGCCCAACAAGTTCCTCGCGGTGAGTTGGCAGGGAAGTCACTGGCTACCCCTTATGTGTCTGCACGGGGTCTCAGGCCCTTGTGGTCCCGGGCTCCGCGGGTGTTTCTGTGGTTTCAGGGGCCGGGCCTCTTGCGGACCCGCGGTCCCGTGGACAGCCCGGGGCTGTGTCCGGATCTCACCACGCTCCACGCGGAAGGTGAGGATCTCTCTGCTCCGTAACTTGTGCAAAACATCCCACAGCTACTGTCCTACGGCTTTTGCCGGACCGTATCCTGGGTCACCACACTGCAGGGCGGGTGGCTGTCAGAAGTAACTTACTAGAGGTGCTTCGCCCAAATTGACCCTTTCGGTCTGTGTGGCCCTCCCGTGCAGAGGAGACCGTGAGGACCCCCGTCTCACGGGTGGGGAAGCGGGGCACAGAGGGGCACGGAGCTTGCCCCGGGGGCCAGGGGGCTCAGAACGTGGGCGGTAGGTCCCGGAATTCCTGCTCTGGAGGTCCGTCACCTCAGGTCTCCGGGACATGTCTGAGCACGTGGGAAGAGGGTGTCCCAGCGCGGCAGGGCTGAGGTGGCTTCCTCTGAAACCCGTCCTCCGCACGCGCCAACCGCGAGGGGAGGCACCGGCTGGGGTTCTGCCCCTGGCCATAGTCCTCCGTGTCCTCTACAGCCCTCGGGTGCCCCTGGGGTCAGCCTCGTCTTCACACACCCCTGCGGGTTGCAGGTGATGACGTCTCAGCCAGAAGCTGGGATTGTGTGTGCTCTCCGCGGTCTGGGTAAGACGCGCCGACCCCGTTACGGAAGCGCCTGGGACCTGGGACCTGCCTGGGTGCCGCGCGGGGCCCTGCCCGGGAATGCCTGGCTCGGCAGGCTGGAGCTCGGCGGGCGTCCAGGCCCGGCCTCGGGCGGGCCCTGCCCCGGCCCTGCCGGGACCTCACTGGTGCTGAGGGGTGATGGGTGTGGGGACGGAGCGGTGCCTGAGGAGAGGACGGTGCGCCCCACCGGTTCTGGGGACTTTCGAGGCTGTGGGAGGGGATGTGATGAACTGCAGACCCCGGGGTGGAGTCCTGCCTCGGGGCACCGAGCGGGTGTCGGAGTCCTGCGTTCGCTCAGAACGGCCTGAGACGGGGAGCCTGTCGCTCTTGTGGAGCAGGGTACTCTCTGGTGGCAGGTCTCGATTTCACTGCAGGAGCGAGAGGATCTGGGACCTGTGCGCAGGGGAAATGGGGTCCACACGTGCTCTGCCATTATGGTGACGTTCCCGCCTTCCCCCTCAGCCTCCCGCCTCCTGACCCTCCCACCTGGTGACCTTCCCTCCTTCCCCCTCCCGCCTCCTGACCTTCCCGCCTTCCTCCTCCCGCCTCCTGACCTTCCCGCCTTCCCCCTCCCGCCTCCTGACCTTCCCGCCTTCCCCCTCCGGCCTCATGACCTTCCCGCCTTCCCCCTCCGGCCTCATGACCTTCCCGCCTTCC